TATCGAGAGATGAATGTAATTTAATATGAAATTTTTGGAACTTTTTGAATACATTAGAAAGCTGATTATATAGTTAGCAGTAATTTTATCGAGAACTCATAACAAATACATTATATTATTTATCACGCATGTAATGCATTACTACTTTTCCGACTGGGCATATATGTACATATTTTGAGCAAACCCAGAAATTCTTCTAAGTAAATTTTCGGAATCACAGGGTTTCTTAAAGTTAATACCCTCACTTATTTAATGTATAAAGGATTTTATAATAAAATTATTTTTAGGAACCGGCAAATTGTTCCGCATGTGCCCTAAAATCCCAATTTTTTAAAAAGTTTTTCACCTAGTCTAAAATCTGCTGTATTTAGACGTTGGCAAAATGTTTGTAAAATCGAGGCTTCTCAATTTCCGCTACAATTTGAGCTACACATCCTCTAAATCTGAACGATGTGCCTAAGTTAGTTATATGTATGTCTAAATGAGAATTATAATTTACATAGGCTGTTAATAAAAAAGTTCATCTAAATTTTTTTTATTTATTTGAAAAATATATCTGAATAAGACAAATTTTCGTTGGCTCCTTCCATATAAATCCATACATCTCCTAACAGAATGTTATGCAAAATAAATAAATAAAAATATCACACAGATTGTTTCTTGCATTAAGCTGAGCACTTATCACCGTCGGATTGGCATGCTTATATAGCTCAAATGTTTTACAAAAGGCCCAATGGCGAACTCAGCAGGTCTGCTTTATATTTTGGTCCCAAAGAGTTTCACATGCGTCTTTCAAGTTCGATTAGTTCGGCTTATAAAAAACAAAAAAACAAAAAAATGTATAAATGAGCACCGCCTGGCGTAACTTTTTGCTTATAATTTTCTAGAACTATTAATCCTTAGCTAAACAAAAACGTTTACTAAAAATTTTAAGTTTTTTAAAAATCAAATAAAAGTAAAGAGCAATGTACCAAATTGTGTACAACACAGACAAGCAACTTGAATTCCGGAAAAGCTGCCATGCGTAAAAATAAAAAGCCAAGGTAACTGCATTCCTACTTTGTTTTTCGCACATAAAAATTGTTAAAGAGCAGCAGTTTGTGCAAATGGTGTTGGATAAGAAAAAAAAAAAAATAAACTTAAAAAAAATAAAATAAAAACTGCATGCTTGAAGAAACGTTACTCAGCAAGTTTGCCGGGTCGAAGGTGATGGCAACATGAAGTGTAAAAAGAGGCGAGAAAACGGCTAGCTAGCAGCTGGCAAATAGTTTTGCAACATAAGGTGCTGAGCGTGCATACATACATACATAATATGGCAACAGTCTAAGGTAAGGGGAGTATGCAGAAAAAGGAAACAGCTGTAAGGAGGAAAGCGGGTAGGCATTAGCATTTAAAGCCGGCAAGAGCCACCAGCAGTCGAACGGAAAAGAGGAGCGTACCGGATGTTGACAAGGCTGCTTGCGATGAGTGGCAGCATACATACATACATATGTGAAGAAAGCATGTGTTATGAGTCACACACACATACTTACTTATATACAAGATTTTTTTTGCAGCATTTGCCTTGCACTTGAGCAAACATTCCACTGGTTCATTGGCGCGTATGTCCATATATGCAGGTGAATATTCAGGAGTGGAAGGGCGTGTGTGTGTGTTTGTGCGCTCATAGACAGCAAGGAAGGCGCCATAAACAAGTCAAAGTTTCACTAGCCTGCTCCAGTGGTATAACATACAAAAGAAGCTAACAACTACACTATGGAAGGTGGAAGGTGGCTTCCGTTGCTTGCTGTTGCTAACCCAAGGCGAAAAAATATTTGCTAAAAAAATACAATACAATATCAACAAAAGCAATAACAAAAACTTTATTTACCGCTCACTTTAATCAGTGAGTGGAAGTGGCGAAAAAAGTTTCGCTTTTATGTTTGTGAGTGTATAGAGCCTCAAATATGAGCCATCGAGTGGAAGATTATTAAGTGAGGAGGTTGACACGAAAAATTTAAATTAAAAAAAAAAAAAACACCAACAAATAAAAGCCACTAAATGTGTTTGTATGTATGCACGTACGTTGTATGCATATTGCTGCTGTAGTCTCTCGCCCGCTTAGCCGAAGGATGATTGCTGGACACTTTGGATGCACAAATAACCACAGGAATGTTGTGCGGAGGATCAAATGGACTCAAAAGCAAAAAAAAAATGTAAGCAAATTTAAGCATAAAAATAGGAAAAAGCAAAACACCGGATACATAAACGAAAACTCGGAAGTAAAGTTGAAATTTTTTTTGAAAGATATGTAGTAAAAGGGAAGAGGCGAATTGAAGTAATGGCCTTTTATTGTAGCCTTGATGGGATTTTATGGTAGTTGCACAGCATATTCACTGCAATCTATTTATATATTTCTTGATTTTATTTTATTTTATTTTATTTTGTGGCAGAATTTGCTTTTTTCGTGCCTTACATTGACGACTCTAAACAAAACAAGCGGAAGAAAACGGAAAATCCATGTTTTCCATTTAACGCCAAAATTTTCCATTAAATCTAAAACGAACAGCCAAAAGTATGCTAAACTTAAAAAAGGCGTTGACCCAACGAAAGTAAATAATTAAAAATTGTTTCAACTAAGTACAAGTGTAGCAAGCATATCTACTTTTAGGCCACACTGCACACTTTCCTGCAAAATTTGCTCATCCTACAAAACTAAATATATACCTGTTTTCATTTTTAGCGCACACTGTTGTCAAGCACGCCTCCCACATGCATACTACTGGCAACACGCACGCCCACTGCACTTCTTCAAGCCAAACGTTAAGCTATTTCAATGCAAGCTCACGTCCCTGGCTGTGAGATCGCTTTATCGTTTAGTTGTCGTTTTTGTTGGCACTCTCAAGGAGAATGGCATTAAAACGAGCGCATTGAAAATTTGAAAAATGTATTGAGTGAAATTTATTGCTGGCGCAATCGACAGATTGGCGTACATAATTTTTGTGAAAAGTGATTTTTGCACATTTTTCATTTTACGTCAATGTTTTGAATTATATGTACATAATAATGTAAATGGAGACAAAGGATAATATATTCTGTACAATATTTCGATACAAAGTTAAAGCATCTTATTTTGTGTCAAATTCATTTTTAGACAAATAAAGTGCACTTCTTAGTTTAGAAAAAAAGTAGTAATGTAAAGACATTGAAAATTGTCGAGTCCGAACCGCATAATGCCACAGATTTACAAAATATAATTTTCTATTGTGAACATATTCTTCTTTTTTAAAATTGGCTGTTAGTTGAGAATTAACACCAACTTGCAATACATAAATAAATTAAAAGATAAAATAAAATAAAATAAAATAAAATAAAATAAAATAAAATAAAATAAAATAAAATAAAATAAAATAAAATAAAATAAAATAAAATAAAATAAAATACAATTTATTTAAATTAAATTAAATTAAATATAAATAAATTTAAAAAAAAATTAAATAAAAAAGTTAAATTAAATTTAAAAAATTTCAAAATTTATATGAAGCAGAAGAAAAAATATTTATAAATAAATTTAAATAACCTTAATAAAATAAAAAAAAAATAAAACAAAACAAGAAATAGCAAGATAAATTTAATGAAATTAAATATAGTATAATAAAAAATAAACAAAAAGGCAAAGATAAATAAAATATCTCATAAGGCCCTTGGATAGAAAAAAATGTCTTCCCGAGTAGCATCTACATAAAAATTGCCGTCAGGGCAGTTCTCGTTCTTTTAAGGCTCGAATTTGAACTTTTGTTTTCAGCGTACCGAAGACGTATTTTTAATTATTAAAATTTAATTCAACAAAAAACTTAAAGTGATATCTAAAAGTTAAGGTATAAAGCAATTAGTAAACAAAAATATCTGATATGAAATATTTTCAATAATAAATTAGGAAAGATTCTGAGATAGTGCGTTCTTCAGCCAAATTCTGAGATAGGCTGCTTTTCAATAAAATTCCTAAATAAGGCGTTCATCAATCAAATACTTAAGTAGGACGTTCTTGAAAAATTTTCGTTTTCGAACTGGCTGCCGAGATAGGTCGATCTTCAACTCAGCCATCGAAATTGAATACTTTTAATATTTCATTAAGATTTTGCGGAAGTAATCATGTAAAGATCGATCGTTGAGGGCTAACTTGCAGGAGTAAATGTTAAATTTATATTGAACTGTGTTATTCTAGTTGTGCGAAAACATTTTAAAACTACAAAGCCTTGCTATGTCCTTCAGCGTATGTTATACATTAACTAAACAGCTGTAAAGGAATTTAATTTGATAAATTGTAGAACTCGAATTCGTCGTCCTTTTTAAACATTGGTCTTAATACAAATCGTACAGTTTTGACAATGGGCAATAAAAATTCGTTACAAAATTTCGTATCTTCTTCTTCCATCAGAAGAACCAACCGAACCAAGAAATACAACTTATTGGCTTTGAAAGAACACAAAACTAGAATTCCTTCAGCACTTTTTGTTAACCGTATAGCAAGGATCTCAATGCTCTCCATTTTTAAACGTATATTTTCCTTTCTTAACCCGTTACCAAAAATTTTAGTGTAAATTAAATTCCTGCTATTGAAAAATAATGAACTAATTCTGTAAATAAAAAGTAGCAAACTTTTTTTTTGATAACAGGAGTAGATTTTTGTTACAAATTTCTGGAAAAAGGCTGTAAAATACCTGCAAAATTTTTAAATTTAACTGAATGAATTTTATAAATAAAAAAATAGCAAACTGTTTTTTTGCCAGAAGTAAATTTTGGCTTCAAATTTCCGGCAAAAATGCTGTAAAATAATAACCAACAAATTTCTTAAATGTCACAAGTATTTTATCATTTCAATTCCCTGTGAAATTCGGTAAACCACGTTTTTTTCGCCTATAAAACAAATGTCTCGTATAAATAATTTATACGTAAACATTTCCCCACATATATTCTTCAAAAAAATTGTAAAACTAGGAAATCAAATAACTTGCACATACCAATCGCTTTAGGTCATTATCCTTGCGTTATCCTTTACGCATACGCCTCACTACCAACGCTGCGTATAGCCAGTTAAGAAGGCGAAAAGACGCGTTGCCATGCTAACAACAAACACAACGCGCACCGAGTGTATCGCTACGGAAACCGCAAGGAAAAAAGGGGCACAAACAAATTAACTTTCAAGCCGACTACGAATTCGATTATTTTTTCAACAAAAATATTTTTTTTTTTTTTTTGTTCACGAGAAGTGTAGTTTCACAGGATTGAGATTTGTTATTATTTTGCGACAAAGTAGCGCAGAAAAAACGAAAATAATTTTCACCAAAGAAAACAATCACTTTTTCCCAATGCAGCAGCAGCAATCACGTGCTGCATTCCAAATTGACACTTTGTTTATTTCGTATCCTTTTTGTGTTTTTATTTAAAATTTCACACTCGTTGTTTGCATAAATAAATAATTCATTTGAGTTTGCACGAATTGCAGCACTTCAAATAACACACAAAACACTCTCTGCACCGCGCGCAATGGCATTAAAATAATTAATTCATGCAATATTAATAAGAGTGAAATGCCTGCCGCAGCAGTGTGTCTGCGCTCGCTATCCTTATTATCCTTTTTTTTCGTTTCAAATATCTTTGCTTGATTTTGCGTTCAATTTCGTTGCGCACCACACAAACAAAACCAACGACGACACGACCGTTATTGATGATGATGTTGGTGACGGCGACGAGTATGGCCACCGACTGACTGACTGCACGTCACTCATGCAACACGACACTACTCTACCACACTGTTGGCCGGCCGTCTGCTGGTGCAGCGAGTCACTAGGCCTGCTTTTTGTTTTTTTTTTTTTTTTTCTAGCCAAAAGTGACAGCCCAACCTATTGGGCACAGTACACTAATAATATTATTGAGCGCGCGCGCGCTTACAAATCAACTAACCCAAATATGTAGTTCAAAGTATTATTCAGAAAAAATGCTTCAAAAGCATTGGAGCGCTGCTCTACCACAACACGACCGTTTGCAGCGGTAGCTCGTCGACAACTGATCGGCCAAGGGTGTCGCACGCACGCAAACAACCACCCTCGACTTGGAATTCGCTTCGAGCGATAGCGATAGCGGCCGAACATTGCAAGCCGAATGCAATTGTTTTATTTACCCTTTATTCGCCGCCCACAATTGCATACAATCGGCACTTTATTTTGCGGGCAGAACTGTCAAAAGCGATTTCAAATAAGCACCGTTAGTTTTTGGATTTCTTCAGTTGCTTACCTATTTTGCGTGTGTTGCATTGCGCTTCAGCTCTTCAGAGGTGAGTCGGCGCAGTGCAATTGCGTTCTCCTTGCAGCTCTCGTAATGCTATCCTGCTATCTTTCGTTTTCTTGCTCTTCGTCTCGCTCATCGTCTTTTCATATCCTTTTTATTCTCTCACACACACCCTTGCGCTCTTTCTCTCTCGGTGTCGCTGCTGGCTTATTGATAACATTTTTCTGGTTTGTTTATGTTTTCTTTAGCGTTTCCAACCGGCTTTTCGACCGAACGTGGCGTATACGTAACCTGCCGATTTCTAGCCAAATGCCCGCAGTCAGCTAAGGAAGAGTCAGCCATCAGTCAACCAGCTACTGAATGGGTTATTTTTTGTATTCATGCGCCATCAGTTGTAGGTGGGTTTGTGCGCGCGCGCGTGTGTATGTGTGTGTGGGTGTAGCAAATCACTTAAAGCATCAAATTATTTTATTCGTAACTTCTATGCAATATAAATATAGCTATAACCCTGTCAGTTTCGCGCGTGTGTGTGCGTGTTTGAGCATGCCTTGGCGTACTTTTACATACATAAATGTCTATCTTTCATTGAAAGAGTTTAATACCCTTGTCAATTTCATCTTTTTGGTAAACAACTTCCCTAAAAGCTACGTCTCACAATGATTTTGTTTGCAAATTTATTCATTTTACATTAGCTTTCCATTTTTTATTGAATCAGTATTTGATGTTTAGGTGAATTTATTTATTTTGAAAAGAGAAGGATGTGCGTGCTCCAGCTCTTTTTTATGGTTTTTTTTTACCATAATAAAGTGTTCGATTGTGATACGAGAATAAAGCTGTTAAGTCGGCAACTTAGTAGCGCTTAGGTTAAACTAATATTATCAAAAGAGGCATATGTATCTAAATGATTTAAAATTCGCCAAGCAAGAAAACAAGCTTACATAGCTATATGTATGTTGTTTTTTTTTAAATTCAATTTAATATGAAAAACTGCAGAAAGGAAAAAATCATGTATGTAAAGTTTCCATACGGAATGACGCACAAAGGCAAAAACAAAGCTGTTCTGACCAGCTTTTCAGTAGTTCTTGAAAAGGGAAAAAGTTTTAGATATTTTAACGAAAACATTTTTTCAAACATTTTTTATTTGGATTTCGAGATCCCGGAAGCATAACGGAGCTTCTACTCCATTAATCCTCTTGGAAGCACCCATAATTTGACGGTTCAGGTGTGTTTTTTCCGGCATAATTTTGCAGACCTTTTTTCCTTTTCAGGAACTTTAGAACTATTGGAAAGCTACTCAGTAAGCTTTTGATTTATATATTTTTTTCCAAAATTAAACTTTTTCGACTTTTCAAAAAAAAAAGTTTTGTTCGATGTAATTTTGTCGAACTTTATTTCCTTTTCAGGAGCTCTAGAACTATTAAAAGCTACTTAGAACAGTTTCAATTTTTATTTTTTTTTCACACATTAAACTTTTTCGAGTTTCTTTAAAAAAAAAAGATTCGATGTTTCTTAAAATTTCAGACCTTTTATTTTAAGAAAAAGCAATTGCTAAATTTTTGTTCATAAGGGCTAATGGAAAGCTACTCAGATTAATTTTATTTATTTTTTATTTTTCTATTTTTTTTTCCATGTTACTTTCCACACAATTTTTCGTTAGAAACGGCCTCAAGCTCAATAAAATGGTGAAATACTTTTGCAAATATTACACTTCTGTTTTTTTTTTAAGAAAAAAAATGGTTGCGTATTTTTTTTGGACTTTTTTTCTTTTCAGGAACCTTCGAGCTATTGAGAAGCTCCCAGAAGAGTTTTGCATTTTCCTTTTTGTCACATGTCGTATTCTGCGTGAATCTGTTATAAAAAAATTTTGCAAAAGTTTTTCTTTATCTTAATATCTTGAACTTTTTGTCCTTTTCAAGAACTCTAGTACTATTGAAAAACTACTCACAGTAGCTTTTTTAGAAAAATTTTACAGAACATATATTGCTACAGCAAAAATATTTCTAAAAATTAACGCGATTTTTTTGCAACTTGAAACATTATTAGGTATTTCAAAACTTAATGGGTTACAATGCACTTCATCAAATCGAAATTTTTTAAAAAGGTATAAAAGAAACATAATTTAAGAGATTTTTCGAAACTTTAAGGCTCTTGGGGAGACCGTTAGTATTATCCGGTCGGAAACCGGTTAAACCCGATTCGCATCCGGGTCATCCCAAATACCTGTTGGTGGTATGTATTAATATTGAAACTTGTCTTGAAAATGAACTAAAATAACTTTTGGATAAAAAATTCGTTCTGGTGTTACTTTTCAGAAACCTTACCTGTTTATATTTTTGGTTCGAAATTTTTAAAGTCTTGATCTTTACACTCAAAACGAGTAAATCAAGTGGCGCTAGATTTGAGTAATAACATCAGACGTCATAATATCGTCGTCGGCATTTTCAAAATATCGGTTTAAATTTACAGCAGGTTTGAAATGTACTACATTTTCACAAAATTCCTCACTGAAGTATCAAAACTTCTAAAAGAGTTTACTATTCCAATTTGCTTAATTGCTAAGCTTGTTGTCAGTTTTGCATAGATTTGTCATTCTAGAAGTTGACAATGGCTAACAGCATTGTTCTTGCGGGCAATTCCGCTTAACCGATTTGGCTAAACAAGAAACGTGAATCCAGCTACATAAGACGGGTATGTGAAAATCCAAACGTGAGCAAAGCAACATACACTTCAAAAAGTTGCAAACATAGACCTACATACATGAAGAAGTTCAGGCGAAACAAAGATATGAGTTGATATGTATACAAGGACCAACTTCACTTTAAGTGTCCCCAATCAGCCGTTGTAGCACGAAATTGGCAATCAAGTCTGCAGCCTATACCGCTCCACGCAACTGCTGCTCGCAATATGTAGTAGAGCGACGAAGCGTTGCCCGAAAATTCGAAAATTCCACACAAATGTTTGTAGGCAAAGCTACTTTTGTGCGCACCGTCGTTGTCGGTGGATGCGCTGACGCTTGTTGTTGCCTTCGATTGGTTGGTGGTTAAAACCCGACTCAATGGCTAAGTGCGGGCTGACTAGGACAAGCGACAAGTGTTTAATATGCCACAAAAGTAGATGATTCTATAAGTACACTGCGCGCACACTCCCCTCACTTTGCCGCAGCGCACTTGTAACATTGTTGTCAACTTTATTTACAAGGACTTTACATTTCATTGCAGGACAACAGGACGCTGAATGAAAATCAGCAGGAAGAAAACCGCAAACGAACCGCACGAGTAGAGTGTGCCGAATCCGTGGATGCAGTAGTAGTTGTAGAAGAAGAAGAAGAAGAAGTACAACCGCAGAAGTAAGCGCACGCACGCACGCACGCACGTACCCACACACACACGGCAACACACTAGGACGCAATATAATAAACGAAATTCCAGGAACATGTTGGCCACCGCCGCTACCACCGCCACAGCAGCCACATCCACAAAAGTGACAATGCTGGCTAACATTGGTACAGCGAAGGCATCGACCAGCATGCTGATGACAACAACAACAACAACAACAAAAACAACAAGTGATGCAACGACAAAAACAACAACAGTTGCTAAAATAGCGCCACAAAAGGACACAACAGCCACGGCAACGATGCCATCAATAACAACAGTGACAGCAACAGCAACAGCTATGCCAACAACAACACCAGTAACTAGAACAATAATAACGATTACCTCAGATCCGGGCATTTTGTGCTTTCATCATTGCAACGTAAAAGTTTTCTGCTTTCATTTGCCACACCGCTGCCCCAAATGCAAACAAGTATTAGACACTGGCGATGATGTTGGCGGCAATGGCGATGTCGGCGATGACGATGAAGACGAAGGTGAGGGCGACGGCGACGACGGCGACGCCGACGCCGATGATGACGACAACGATGCTGGTGGTGGTGGTGGTGGTAATGAAATGGGCAGCAATGGTTACAACAGCACTGCTGGCGGTGGTCGACCGTTGGGCGGTGGTATCGTTGGCTCTACACGTTTGCTGCCCTTTCGGTTGCCTTATCCGTTCATACGTGCCTCGCAGTATCCCTGTGCGATTGTTTTGCGTCCAACCACAGGTGATTTTCTCAAGTGAGTATCTGACAGTGCGTAAGTTATCTTAATAACAATGTGTATTAGGGTGGTCCTTAAAAACATCAACAACTGAAAATTGTATGGGGAACCCCCTTATTTTGTACACAAATAGGTTATAACCTGAATTAATATACTTATAGAATATTTTATGAAGAGAGTTGCCACTTTTTTCAAAATTTTAAATCAATTAGTAAGTTAAATAAAATATTACAACAATGCGTGTGTCGACAGGAAGGATTTAAAAAAAATATAAAAATATTTTTTAAGGGTGTTGCCACCTGCAAAAAACTTAAAATCATATTATAAATAAGCTTAATTAAACATCTCTGAAATGTGGATGCGAAACGAACGGGGTTTAATGCGATATATTTCGAAACATTCTTTTGAGAGCGTTGCCACCTGTTCAAAAAATTAAAATGCTTTTAAAGCTACACGAAATATTTTAGAATGTGTAACAAACAAAAGTGCTTTCCTAAAACTTCATTTTAAAATATTTTTAGAATAGGTTTTCATTCATTTGAATTCATTAACTTGCTAAGTTATAGCCGGTCAAATTAAAAGTTTTGTACAAATTTTTTTCAAATCCGGCTAGCAACCCCAGTTTTTTCAAGTTTGAAATTTTCGTGGCTTCTTTATTATAC